AGTAGAAAAAATACTTTAAATAACTTTTTGGTTAGTTAAGTCAATAAGTTGCTGATATTTCTTAATCTTTAGAAAATTTAATTTATAACACTCAAGTCCCAGCAAACATTTGTGCGTTGGCCGACTTATGGCCAAATTTCGCATGCCGAGATATTTTACGTCGGCCCGATGATGGAAATAGAGGTCCAGCCTCAATCAATAGGAAACATCATGCGATGATGATTGCACTGTGGTAGAGATGGATTTCAATATTTATTTGAAGGTGTGCGTCTCTTATGGCACAGCTGTGGGGTTGATCTGCGCAGTATTGTGCCATTCAGATGATTTTCTCAGGACCTACATATACCTATAGGTATAAATACCAAACCATAACCAGTAAGACGTTCAGAGGACGTCCTCATGAGGAAAGACGTCTTTTTTTGAAAGGACATTCGACCACGGCCGACAATCGGCCAAGGCCGGCAATCAGCCAAGGCCAGCAATCGGCCAACTATACATATGTATAGTTGGCCATATAGCCGGCACTCGGCCAACTGCATATAGCAGACATTCGGCCAGGTGGAAGTTACCCGACAGTTGGCCAGTCGGACATGCCCGGTCTATATGCCGAATCGCATACGTGCTACGGACCGGACGCTGCCAATTCGGTCAAACGCATTCGGTCCGTATGCGGGCTGACTAACTAGTGCTTTAATCAATGTTCATATAAAGACGTCTTTTTGACCTTTTTGAATTACATCGTTTGACCATAGCTAATTAAGTATAATATACTATATATATATATACCATATAGCTATGGTCAAATGATGTAATTCATTAGACCGTCATTTTTTGAGATATTATGACGTCATCGGGGTCAATTTGACGAGCTTCTGCTACCTGGGATTGGCGATGATCATCCAATGATTGTTCGATGTTTGGCCGATTTGCCAATTATTATTCAAATTTTTCGAATTTATGCGTCGGCCAGAGAGAGGTCGAGCCTTAAACAATGAGAAGTATCGGTAGCTGATCTCCCAATTATGATAAACCGTCGAATGTTGTCCGATCATGAGTTAAACTCTAAAGGCCCCCACAGACTTCGTTCTTTTTCATCCGATTGTATCGTCACGATTCGAAACGTCTTCACTGAAAGAAATTTATGTTTCATATATGGACTACCACATACATTGCTAAAACAAACATATAATATATTTACCTTAACCATTTTTATATTTAGTTTTAACATATTATGTTAAAACTAAATATAATATATGTTTGTTTTAGCAATGTATGTGGTAGTCCATATATGAACCACAAACATTGCTAAAACAAACATATATTTCTTTCAGTGTTGTCAAAAACGCAAAAAACTGATGTGTGGTTTTTTTAAATGACGTTCCATCAGTTTTCGTGTCAAACTGACGTCTGTAAGGTTTTTACACCCTAGCGCAGTCGCAAAAGTTAACGTCTAAGCAATTTTTAATGGATTTTATTAAAACTACAGGGAGGGAATTGTCCGATAAACAAGAGCAGCGCCGGATTATAAAATTTTGCGCCCCGGGTCTAATAAAAAATATCCGCCCCTATCTAATAAATTTAAAGAAATTTTACTTCCTAACAAAAGCATTTTATTTAACCATAAACATTTTGACATTTTTTTATTTTGGAGGTCACATAAAAAAATAGGTTTGAAGTATTTGAGTTTCAATAGAAAAAAGTTTTTTTGTAGGTTGTATAGGATCATAATAAAGTTTTAAGTCAAAATATTATTTGGTCACACATTTTAATTTAATTTCAAAGTTTTTTGCATTGCTTTTCAGATTTACGTTTTCTAGCCTGTCTTTCTTGAAAACCACTCAATTTCTTAGGTAAACTCATGTAAACTAATTACTGCACTAGTTTAATATAAAAAATGAAAAAACATTAAAAAAGAAAACTGTGCATGTCACTAGTACCTATTATAATAATTATAATTCTTCACTCAACGGTATTATTAATAATTATTAATCAATGATAATACTATGACTATGATTGTCATTTAAAGATTTTTTTTATTAATACAGTTTAGTACTAATCATTGACCAACTCATTGCACCGTTGAATGAACGAATTTCAGGGTACTATGTCGATGATGAACGATTTCGTTTCTTGGCTAAAATAACCACAATGGAACCTGAAACTAAAGGCTGAGAATCTCGTACATTCTTAATGTGAAGATTTAAAATTTAATTTAGCTAATAAATTAATACATTTTGTCACTTTGCAAAGCAGTATAAAAAGTAGAACTTCATCACCATCATAGCGATATAAATTTTGATGATGTCACCGAATCTTCGCCCCAGGGCCTCTAAATTCTAAATGCCGCCCTGCTTCCTGACCATCATTTTTAGACATTATACCAATGGGTGTAATCAAAGATAATATATTATCTTTGGGTGTAATTCCGGAAAACTACTAATAAAAATACCAATGTTGGTTCGGCATATTACCGACGATATCTGTCCAATATGCCGGCTAAATCAACTGTCAACATTTATCAGATCATCGGCCGACGATTTAATGTTTAATACAGGGTGTTAGGAAATAAATGGTAAAAAATTAAGGGGGTGGTAGACCACGCCGAGACTAGCATTTTTGGCCTTCGCGTCAAGAAGTGCGCGCACCGTTTTAATTTAGTACTTAACCTTAATTGTACTGTCAGTAACCTTAATTATAATAATGGCCACTTGCACCGTTTTCTCTAACTGATCAGTTAAATAAACTAACAAGTTAAAAGTTAACAGGAGATTATTGTCCAAAATCTTGCACTGTAATTTTTTAACTATGGTTTAAAATTTAACTAGTGATCAAGGGAATTTGACTAAAAAATGGAAAAGATTGGTGCTAATAACTAACCTCACACTTATTTGTGAGTTCGAATCTTTATAATCTGTCGTTCGATTCTTTATCATCTGTGGTTCAATTCTACGACCGATTCAGTTGATGGTAAGAGAGAATAATATAGATACAGAACCTGAAAAAAAGGGGCGCTCCTTAAATTTTTCAGAAAATGATAAAAATCATTTAATTAATCTTGTGGATACAAGGGTATCATTGAAAACAAAGATAGGGCTAAAACAATTAGAGCAGGAAATTAACAATAAAAAGGATGTAAAAGAAATTACTCTTTCGGATTTAAAAATTTTAGAAGAAAAAGAAAAACTTAATACCTATATATATTATAATAATAAACAAGAAGTGACTAAGTATTTATTTTAATTTAATTTTAAGTAAGTATAAATTAAATAAAACATCAAAAATATTATTCACATTAAATTTTATAAATTCGCAAAATAATCTTGTATTAATTGATTTTGAAACATAATGCGATCTTGTGGATGAGTAACAACAGGGTACTCCAGTTCATGGCATTAATATCATCAGGCAATGGCGGCTCTGGTTTATTCATGTCTCTAGCAATACTTTGTAGTACAGCTGCAGCTGGAATAATGGACAAAACTGTATCTAGTTTTAATCTTAAGCCATATGCCAACACTGGAAACCTTCTTTTCCAAATTTCAAGTACTCTTTCTATTATATTTCTGGTTCTTAGTAGTGACTCATTATAGAGTTGCTGACCTCTATTTCTATAACTATAGTTATTGGATTTGCTAAAGAAGTCAATAAATAATATCTTTGGGGAAAAAAGATCTTGAATACCGATGACTTTTAGTTCTTTTGAGGTTATAAATCGTTAACGGTAGATTAAAGTAATTTAAACTACCGAAATTGGAGGTTTATTTTAACAGTAGTTTAGAGGTATTTAAACAAGGATTAATTTATGGTGCAATCCAGTTATGAAAAATAAACCTGTGTTAAAAAATTAACCACTGTTAAACTTACGGTGCAAGTGGCCATAAAAGTTTCAGATACCCAACTTTAATTTTTTTAAATATTTAAATTGAAATATTTGGTATTTTTCAAAAAAATAAGATTTGTTGTGCAATGGCGCATTTGCTAACGAAACTACAATATTTTTTCTCTGGTCAAATTGTTTGAGCGGTTGATTTAACTTATAACTTAAGTGATATATCATAAACATTAGGTATTTTTTTTATCAATTATGAGAATAAAGATTGCTTCTCTTAAAAAAATGTTGATATGTAAAACTAACAATATCTCATGTTATAATGATTAAAATGATTTTTGTGTGTTCGAAAAGGGCGCATTTTTCTCAACCGAAGGTATTATGCTTAGGGCATTGATAATATAAGTAGGTACATACCTACTTAATATAATAAACATAAACATAAAAACTAGTGTTGCAACGGTTACGGTTACGGTTAATTCACGGTTTTCGATATTATACGGTTAACCGTAACCGTATACGGCATTTACGGTTTTTCATGCTACTTTGTGAATGCATGTAAAAAGAAGATTGAAGAGTATTTAACGTTACCAAATATACCACATAGGTCAAATCCGTTTACATTCTGGAAAACGTGTTACACATTTCGGCGTTTAAGGTACTAAGGTATTTATCATACAAACCATTGTCAGTGAATTCGGAGAGGCTGATTTCGCAAAATTTGCAGATGTTATGTTTTTAAATAAAAATTTGACTCTTAAATTTTGAATATTAACTTTTAATTTTTTTATTTTTTTAAATATATTATTCAGGTACCTACTTAGGTTTTACTTTACTGATTTTAGGTTTAAAATGTTACTCATTTCCTTTTGCTTTATAGTTTTATTAGAAATTCTGTTTTTGTTTTACATAAATTATTATTTAACCTTTACTGAAAGTGTGTATTAATTTCATTTTAAACAATAAACTTTATTTTTCGTAATTCTGTAATTTTTTTTCGAGTTACCGTGAATTTATTCGTAACCGTGGAGCTAACCGTAACCGTAACCGTAAAACCCGAAACCGTTGCATCACTAATAAAAACATAGCATGTTTTTTCTTTTTTAGTACTAATCAAATTTTGTTTATAATAAAGGTACTTATAGTATATATATTTTTTGTTAATTTCCAGATACTCAACAAACCCTAAAGAATTGATACATTACTTTGATAAACATATGTGTTCCTCCATAGAAATGGAAGCTATAACAGAATTGCAAAAGGTTGCAAATGTTTTATGTAGTATCAGATTAATAAACAAAAAGCCTGACAAAGTAATGAATCTACAAAGACTAGACGAAAATGAGACGGACATGAAGAAATTAAAAAATCTAGTAGAAGACTGTATAAAGCAAATACAAATGTTTGGAATGTATGGTGGTTGTATAGCTACAATTAGCTACATATTCCAAATTGAACGAATTAAAAGAACTTGCATAGATGCAGATGTAATGCAATTATTAAATTATGTGACCTCCGTACTGAGTTATATTAAAAAAATTTTTGAAAATAAAATGAAGGATGTCGAGGGCAAAGACAAAATATTAAAGTACTCTTCTAATAAAGTAATAGTACTTATATCTGTCTTTGAAGAATTTAAACTGAATTCTAAAGAGGAACTTTGTGGAATAGTCTTTGTGGAGCGACGATTTACCGCTAAAATTGTCTGCCACATATTAGAACATTTAGCACTATTTGATTCCACTTTCCAAGTTAAAGCAAATTTTATGGTGGGAATGCAGAATAATCCCTACAGCAATATGAAAGAAAATCTTTTTATTGCCAAGAAAAATAAACAAGTAATAGAAAGCTTTATTCACAAAGAAATTAATGTTATCTGTTCTTCAAGTGTTCTTGAAGAAGGAGTAGATATTCCAAAATGCACTTTAGTTATAAAATTTGATAAACCAACGAATTATCGATCTTACATACAATCAAAGGGTAGAGCCAGGCATAAACTTAGTATGTTCTACACTTTGGTGGAAAAAGAAGAGGGTGCAAAGTATTTAAGTACCCTAAAGCAATTTCAGGACGTTGAAAATATTTTAAACAATGTAAGTTATCATTATCATTATTTTAAGCTAACAAATTTTAACTGACTTTTGAAGTATTTAATTGGCAAAAACATGGAAAGACCGCAACCAACTCAACAAGATCTTATGGAAATGTATAATGAAAATCCTTTGCCGCCTTACTACGTAGATGGTCCAAATTCTGCTAACGTAAACATGTTATCGGCAATAGCACTTCTTTGTCAGTACTGTCAAAGTTTGCCAACAGATGGCTATACCGTGTACGCACCAGATTGGTATATAGAAAAAAAGGAAAAAACACGGGTTCACATCATGATGCCGACAATTTGTCCTATTGTAGAACCAATAGCTGTAAGTATTTATCCTTTTAGATTACATTAATATAGAAATTAGAATAGTAGTCAGAAGTGTCAATAAGAAAAGGATTTTTAAAAGCTTTGTACAAAGTATCTAAAAAATACTTGAAATCACATTTAATTAAAACAAATAACAATTTAAGTATTTCCATCAAAAACAACAAAGATAAGTCTAATAAGCATATGAAGTATGCACATGCACATTGTGCAGATTGTCCCACGATACACACAAACACGGTATGCTTTTGCGCATGGTAGCGCTGTCTCTCTCGCTTCGTATGACGTCATCCTCAAGGAACTTGTTTACTCGTTGTAATTTAATGTAATTTTGTGGCGCGCGTTAGGGTTTTATTAAATTACAATTATGACGGCCGATTTATTAAAACTAATTGTAAGACAAAATTGTTTTAGGAGGTAGTTAGTATTTATACGAATTTGTACTTGTCATTGTGTAAATGTATTTTTTAAATTATATACGCAGATACAGATTTAAAGGCAGATAAGCTTAAACAAATGATCATAGTTTATCTGTTATTATTATTTTAAAATTAAAAAAGTTTTTATTGTTTTTTAGATATTTAATAAAAAGGATAATATCAATGTTATAAATGCAATGTGTTTATACTAAAAATTGACAACCTTTTTTAAATAAATATTTTCATTTGGGGTTTTGTTTTTGAATTATTTTGAATTATCGAACTTTGTTTTTACGTAAACCCTTTTATCTTTTATTTATGGGCGGATTTAAGAAAAGTAAATGTTTTGTAATTTTAAATTTATTTCAACCAACAATGTTTGTGTTAAACATTTAAAAAATATATTGACCGACGAAAATATATTTATTTGAAAAAAGTGTCGATAATTATTTCTTATAAGATCCACAACCTTTATTATGTTGTCCACTTTGAGTAGAATCACCCTTTATATTATATTATCATTTCTATAAAAAAAGTAACACATTTTATTACGAGACAAAGAAGTGAATTAAAAATAGGTATTATTTTTTAATATTCGTCAATTTTGACATTTTTTTCTTTAGTACCTTTTGTAGATTTATTAGTTTTTACATTTATTCTCAGCGCAGTTCGGCATTATAAATTAATCCCTCACACACACCAGATAACAAAAATAGGTTTTTCATATCATCCTCTTTTAATAACACAGGTAGATCTACCAATATTTTTTTTATATAAATTTAACAGTATAATTAAGTTTAAACACATTCTGAAGAAGCTACTTTGTAGCGAATTGTCAACATTTAAATAAATCACGTAAAACTTTCAAACATAGCTGTTATTATATTTACATAGTGACCTTCATCCAGTCAAAGTTTATGATCGTTTTGTAACAGTTTTGCTATTAAAGTTTGGTTCAGTGGAAATTTATACAATGTGTTAATATTGACGTTTACATATTATATAACATCATAAGCAGAGGATACTACTCGCACCATGTACGAACCACCGGCAAATTGAAGAGTGTGAAGTTTGCTGCACGATCAAGGCGAGTGTAGCAACGCACTTTAAAAATCGCCGCCCTTCGCCCCCTGATAATATCATATATATAATATCATACGCGGGCCGTAAGCGGGCCGGCTGGGGCAAGCCGAACCACCGGTCAACCGCCTATGCCGAGCGAAGGCCGACTGTTTGCCGAGTGTTTGAAAAAAATATTGAAATAAAATTAAACTAGTAAATAGCAACATAATATAAATATACTTGTTATAAATAAACAACAATAATGTTATTTAAATAATTTAAACTAATTTATTTAGTACTATAAGTCTTTATTCAAAACTTTACTCTAACAATATCAACCGATCGTATTCAAAGTGTCAGACACACTGCCGTTAAAACTAATGTGTCTACGTAGGTCCTCATTTGTTTATCTTCTATTGCCCTTGGTATGCTCTTAAGTACCCTTATGCTAACATACTTATGCTAATTTTTGACAAATAAAAAACGAAAAAAAACTTAAAACAACAATGAAACTAAAAAAAATTCAAAAAATTCTCTACAATTAGGTTATCATCGCCTCTCTTGCACAAGAACTACGGGCTAGGGTAATACAAGTCTGCGCAGCCATTACTCCAGAACAAATATGAAAATATATTGAAATAAGTGGTGGATTAGTAGAGATGGCGAAAATCTAATTGTAGAAAATTTTTGGAATTCTCTATTTTTTGTTTCATTGTTTTAAGTTTCTATTGCGTTTCTTATTTGTTAAAACTTAATATTTATACCATCTTACTATTAGTTTAATTTTATTTCAATGTTTTTTTAAAACAAATCCAGTTAAAATCGCAAAGATTTTACACGGGTAGATCGCAAACAAATGGGTCACACTGTATAAGTAAAAATTAAAACCTCAAAGTCTAGCTCTGAAACTGGCCATTTTTAAAAAATGTGCCAATGATAACTTTTGATCAGTGACCCATGTTTTATAATATTCGTGAAATCTATCCAAATCCACCGGGACACATTTCCCATAGGATTAGTACAGGGTCCTATGCAAACTTGGTTATTCTCACCCAAATGCCCATTAATTAATCCATTAATCCATATAAAAACAAATCTTAGGGACATTGGATGAGTAACGCTAAAGACGCGAAAAGAGCAGCAGCCCTAAGAGCGTGCATTTTGTTGCATCAATGCGGTGAACTCGATGATCATTTGATGCCGAAAAAGCAGGAAGTGACCGAGGAAGACGTCTCCTTTCTATTTACCCATTATCCGGCTGTAAAAGAAGCAAACGCTGGCACGAAAAACAAAAGAAGACTCCATAAAAAACAAGTCAGTGGTTCAGTAAAAGTAATAATAATAACTTTCTTGATTTATTTATTTTCCAGGTTCCAAAATGCCTCCAAGGCGAGCTCAAGTCAAACTCGATGAAACTGTATTTGCACATAATAAATCTATCTCCAGAATTTTCAAGAAAAGAAGATATTAATCAATCGACTTTATATGACATGTATTCTTCCAATTTGTGCTATGGCGTGCTGTCACCAAGAGCTTTACCCGTAATTTGTGACTTTCCCACATATGTTTCTCTTGGCACTGTTAACGTTAGCGTAGAAATAAACAAAGGCTGCGTCGTTTTAACAAAAACGGACCTAGATGACATTAAAGAATTCCAGTACCTAATATTTAACGATGTTCTTGAAGTTTTAAAACCATTTTTAATTTTTGACAACAGTCATGAAAGTCAACTTCTTTTGGTTGTACCTGTAAATAAACAATACAGAACAATAGATTTTGACGTATTACGGAATCATTTTTCTCTAAAACCAATGTATGGTAGTTTAACATTGGATGAAAAACTTAATCTTGATGTAACCCAAGAAAATTATTTAAAAAAAATTGTCTCTCCAACTTACCGAAGTGGCACTGTAAGTATAAAATATTCGGTATATTAAGATAAATAAAATACAAAACATTATAGATTCCTTGGTTTGATTTAACCCAACTAATTAAAGTTGCTTGGTTTAACCACTCTTTTAATTACGGATTTTTTTTTAAATAACTTGAAAACGCGTCAATAGATTTTCACTATTTTTTTATCATAAAATCTTGCATGTGCCGGAGAATGAGTTTAGGTATAAATAATCGCCCATACCCCTAGGCCATAGGTCTATGTTTAAACCTCCTGTAATAAAGTAAATTTATAAATGACACTAAATAGCAACTTGCTACTGATTTATAAAAAATATCAATATAATGTACAGTTGCGGACACGGAATTATGAACGTCATAATTTACAATATTGGCCATTTTTTCTTTCGCTGTCAAAATGTCAAGACTAGTGAAAACCGGAAGTAAGGTTAGTAGTCCATAGAGGAAGTTTAGATTTTGATGTCAACGGGATTATAGTCGTTCAAAATTCCGTGTCCACCCCTGTACAAGTTGTCCGAAAATTAATATTTTAAATTTTTACCTGATGAAATTTTCTCTGCCCTCCAAAATTTTTGCCTGAAATAAGATGATGTTTCAGACACAATTTCTGGCCAACTATAATTGTCTTTTAAGAAGAGCTTCAAATTGATTTGACAACAAAAAATTCAAAATTCAAAAGATTGAGCTCTCAGGCTCTCAATTTCAATTGAAAATGACAAAGCTAAAAAGATAAATGTATTAAATTTGGTGACAGCATTTGCGAAAGCAAAAGTTCGAAAAAAATGTTGAAGATCATCAATCATGGCTGTAAATAAATTTATTTTCTACTCTGAAAAATTTCGTATTTTACTAAGGGGCCCCTCTATTTCCACCAAAGACAACTTTTTTTTAAGCTAGTTACGCCACTGCTAGTACACAAACATTTTTTGGAATCAGATAACATTTTTAGGTTGCCCATAATTAAACGTAGGTACCTATATTAGAAAAATCAATATCAAAAACAAATCAAAAACTATTCAACAATTTTGAATTGTGAACCACTCTAATGTACATAAATGTTTAAAAAACCCACCCGAATGTTTTTCTGGATCCGCCCCTGGAAGTAACTATAAATTCAAGATGTGTTAAATCGACTTATTTTTAGCTAACGAATCTATGATATTTTTTTGTACTCCTGTTTATTTTAGTATATTTTAAATAGAAAAAATAATTAATGTATTACTCTTTTTAGATGTATGTGGTAACAGAAGTTTCCTATAACAGAAATCCTACAAGCGATTTTCCAAACTGTTCTTACAGTAATTTTATGGAATATTACAAAGATAAGCATAACATTTTAGTATTAAACAAAAACCAGCCACTTCTTTTAGTAAAAGCTCTTTCAAAACGTTTAAATTTAATAAAACCTAGAGGTGAAATGTCCAAGAAAAAAAGAAAGTATGAAGAAGCTGTAGAGTACTTGATTCCTGAGCTGCTGATAAAGCAAGATATACCTGGGGAGCTATGGATCCAGGCCAGTTTTTTACCAACAATTCTCACCAGAATCGTTTTTCTCCTAAATGTCGAGGAACTTCGCTCCAGGATCGCTCTAGAAACAAGGCTGGGCCAGGTTCAAGTGCTTGAATGCAGCCCATTAAAACTTGATGAGCACTTGCTTGACTATGACCCTAACATTGAAAAGAAAGAAAATCCTGTAAAAATAACGATTCAAGAAAGTACTGGATTGTCAGAAAACATAAATTTTGTTTCAAAAGTGATTAACAAAGATTATTCTGCAAAAAGGACCGAGGCCGAATATCCCTGGTCAGATATTGAGGAACCAAAGGATCTTGATAGGCAACTTAACGTAACTATTATGGACATTGAGTACTATGAGCAGTTTATGCAAAAGAAAACGCCAGATATTAATAGGTAACAAAATTATATTTTTTTCGTTTAAACTTAAAATTATAAACTCTGTAAAATAATGATTTCATGTATCTTTGATCTATTAATAATGATTTCATGTATCTTTGATCTATTCTCTGCAAGTGTGGAAACTTTTTATAGATTTCGACGTGCTGTTTTAGAATTTTTACTTTGCCACCCCGTATCTTTGCTGCTCGCTCCATATTGGAAAAGTGGCGCCCAAAAAATATCCATATATCCAGATTTTAGGCGTGGCTACCGTTATAGGCCAACGTACCCGGAAAACAATCGGGATTTCCTGGTGAAGTCATGATGATATCACAACGTGATTTTTTTATCACGCTGTGATATCCTGAGTGCATACACATGCTTCATCACAATGATATCATGTAGAACTCACGGTGTGATATTTGCAAAATTTGCGCATTTTGCGCATGCGTATGAGCCCTGCGAACTGCGAATTTAAAACCTAGTTTGTTATTCACATTACACCGTTATAATTTATAAAACGTTGTTTGAATATCACGAATGTTGTCCAGGTTCAATTAAAAAAGATATTGTTTAACAAAACGTGAACGTTTGGAATTGGAATATCTTTTTTAATTAAACCCGGACAACATTCGTGATATTCATACAAACATCATGTTGTGATTTTCACAAATTTTACTCATACTGATATCATACGGAAGTCACCGCGTGATAAATGAAAATCATACGAACGTCACGTCGTGATTTTCACAAATTTTATTCATACGGACATCATCCGGATGTCACTGCGTCAGAATTGAAAATCATGTCGTGGTTTTTTATGCTATCGCTGTTTGCGATTGACCGATGGCCTAAAAAATCATGTCGTGATTTTTTATGCCAACGGTGTTTGGATAATCATTTTTGCGCCACGTTCGTACAGTAAGAGAAAAATTATGTTGAATCAACAGTTTTTGCGGTTAAATACATTTAATATTTTCTTGGAATTAAATTAATTAATTTAAATCCACGAAAATATTGAATGTTAAACTGTTAATTCAATTGTTAACATACATTTTCTCACAATGTACGAATGTGGCGCAAAAATAAATATCCAAACATATCGGTGCACCGATGGCATAAAAAATCATGTCGTGATTTTTTATGCCCAAACACCGACAGCATAAAAAATCATGTCGTGATTTTTTATGCCATCGGTGTTTGGATATTTATTTTTGCGCCACATTCGTACATTGAGAGAAAAAGTATACCTACATTAGGGTGTCCCAAAAAAAAAGAATATTTTTTTTCTTCTCGTCTTTTGTGAATATTTTTTTTGTCATGTTTTAAGAGCCCTGTCAAAAGATCAGCACCATTAAAAAATTTTTAGGGGTCGCTCAAGATTTTTAAAAATTACCAAAATCGTCAAAAATTGGATTTTTTTTTATTTTAATTTTTTTTCTTTCCGATATTATTTTTTAATTTAAAAATAATAATGATTCTGAAAATTTCAAATCGATATTTTAATTTCTAAAGGTCGCTCAAGATTTTTTTAACTTTCAAAGTAGAGTATTTTGAATGTTTTCGAGCGACCTTTGAATATAAATATCAACGAACTTTTAGCGACCTTTAGAAATCAAAATATTGATTTGAAATTTACAGAATTTTTATTATTTTCAACCTAAAAAATAATATCGAGACGAGAAAAAGAATTAAAATAAAACAAAAATTAAATTTTTGACCATTTTGAAAATTTTTAAAAATCTTGAGCGACCCCTACAAAATTTTTAATCGAGCTGATATTTTGAAAGGGCTCTCACAGCATGATAAACTAACATATTTTTACAAGAGACAAGAAAAAAAAATATATTCTTTTTTTTTGGGACACCCTAACCTACATATATATTGAAATAACAGTTTTTGTGGTTAAATACATTCAATATTTTCTTGGATTTAAATTAACTATATATAGTTAATTTAAATCCAAGAAAATATTAAATTTATTTAACCGCAAAAACTGTTGATTCAACATAATTTTTCTCTTACTGTACGAACGTGGCGGAAAAATGATTATCCAAACACCGTTGGCATAAAAAATCACGACATGATTTTTTGTGCCATCGGTCAATCGCAAACAGCGATGGCATAAAAAATCAAGACATGATTTTCATTTCTCACGCAGTGACATCCAGATGATATCAGTATGAATAAAATTTGTGAAAATCACGACGTGACGTTCGTATGATTTTAATTTATCACGCGGTGACTTCTGTATGATATCAGTATGAATAAAATTTGTGAAAATCACGACATGATGTTCGTATGAATATCACGAATGTTGTCCGGGTAGTTATCTACTGGTACACGGTCATTTATGATTCTAGTGGCTGGCTGCATTGTTTAATTTTATTTTAAAGTTTGCAGAGTGCACTCGTTAAAATTTAATATAGGTATAATATACCTGGTATATATATATATATACATATATGTATTATTTACTCAGTTTTAAAAATGGGTAACATAGAGCACCCAATTGTATATTTAAGTACCCGTACATTTTCAACTCTTTCCCTCAAAGAAAAGTAGGAATTAAAACGATCCGAAAATTTCCATTTAAATGGTATAGCACTTTTAAGTGGTTGACAACAAATTTAAATAAACTTTTAACCATTGTTAATTTTTATAGTTTTTCTTTATTTTTAATTAATATATATTTTTAATATTAGTTTGTTTTTATGTTTTGTATATCCTAATTAATTATTTGATTAGAATTTTGTTGATTCTATACCAAACTTTTTTCATCTAACCGTATATTTGTCTACCTATACAAAAACTCCACGCTTCGCCACTGTATTGGAGTAGACTTTGCTGTGTTTGTAACCTGAAACTATTTTCGCGCCTTCATATTGGAAGAATGAAGCCCAAAACAGTATCTTGACACTCTCGAGAGGATATCCTTACCGACTTATTTTACGAAGAAAATAGTTATGTGGTAAATTAAAATAAAGAATATTTTCTATAATACATATGTTATAGGAAATATAATAAATAAAATAAACCAGGGGTGAGTGGCAAACAAATGGGCCACACATATAGAATCTTGTTTTTTGGTAGGGCGACTTAAAACCATTTTTAATTTTAAAAAACTTTTACTTTTGTAGCAATTATTGTTAATTTGTATATATGTATTATATATTTGTACAAGTTGGGGCAATACATTTGTATTTATAAGACCCTACTTTTTTTCCATTCAAACGATAATACAACTTTATAATAATCTGTTTAAGTTGACATTTCACACACACAGATTATAACACATTAACCATAGAGAAAGCAAATCTAAATATATGTCTATGGTTATGTTGACATTAGCTATTTTCGCGGATGCGCTTTTTAAAATTTGGGGTTCAAAATGTAAAGTGCGCATGACAAATATTAAAATGCGCATGCCTAAGATGTCCGAACTAGTTCGGGATTAGCACCGCGAAAACACCTATTAGTTTACCCAGTTATGTATGGCGGCGCTTTAAACGCTGTACTTACTACAACAATGCATTTTACCACTCTCTTTTACTTTCTCTATGGTCACAATCTTAAGAAAAATAACAGCAAAACAACTACGCCGCACTGTGGGCCCAATGTCCAAACTAGGTTGCATTAATTCAATTTTTTTTCTATTTACTTAAAACTTTAAAAATAATTAAACTTTGAGACTAACCAATGCTGGTAATTAATTATATATTTTATTTTTTGATTTTCCAGTGTTGCCACATTATTAATTTATAAAATACAGGGTTATCTTCAACTAGTATAACAAAAAATGCCAACGTTATCTGGGCGAATTTTCGTTAAATGTACATTTTGTATATATATATTTTGTCCAGGCAGGTCAATTTGATCGTTTTTTTTTCCTTTATGATAGAACAGTGTAATAGACTCCACAAAAATTCTATGTTTATTCTAAGTTTATAAATAACAAAAATAAACTTTAAAGAAATAAAACTTATAGGGTTAATCTGAAATAGGGAAGGAACACAAGGAAGAAATGAAACATTGTCCTCCTCCTAACGCATCTTCCTGAACGTTGTATGACACATTGCTTTTGACTTTTTCAAACGTTATTTTTCAGAAATACTGTTAAATGTAAATATCTTTCGGCATTTGTTTGGCATTTCTACTATGCTATAATACAAAATTAAAATAAAAAAGTTAACTTCTAAAAAAAGAGTTGTATGTAGCGTTTTGTAAAAGACACCAAAAAGTGTACACAAAAAAAATTACCTTTAAAATATTTATAAAAAAAATTCACACAATTTACACGTGCTCACTTGTTGTTGCCGAAGTATCAAACTGGATGCCCTCTAGAAATAAAATGCTAGTATCTCTATCTCGTGTCTCTATTTCGAAGCAGTCGGCATAGAAGACGACGTTAGGAAAAAGACAAGATTTTTGAATGTCAACTTTAATATTTTTTTCTGTTTAAACTACTTTGTAGAAAACTATTTAAGTTTTATATACGAATAAAAGAACTTTCCATAAATAATTTATTTTTTCTGAAGAAAGCTGCAAAGAAGAAGAATATAATAATTTAAATTAAAAAATCGCTTCTGGGGACAGTTAGGTTACAGGACATTTCACATAGTTTTTCTGCCATATATAGAAACACAAAGTAATTAAAAAACAAAATACGATGGGTCCTAGCAGGAAGGGGGTATATAAATATAATAAATACAAAACTTATCAACAAAGATCAAAAATAAAAATAAAATTAGCTGGGGACAGCAAATGTACATTTAACGAAAATTTGCCCATCTACCAAAATTACCTATATACTAAGTTGCTGCGTTTAGTCGTTAGAGGCCTTTAAAGTTTTGAAAAATAACTATTTTTTTAAATATCTTAAAAACGTAAAAATGAATTTTGAATATTTTTGGAATATAAGTTTTAACTGCCAATTAACGTCGTTTGGTGCTACACTCTGTTATCTTTAAAAATTAGAATAATCAGAAAAGCAAGGTTAGGTACTAATTTTCGCTTGTATTTTTTTACTGTTGATGTAATGGTTACCAATTTGCTAGAAAATAGAAAGCTCACTTTGTTTAAAATTTTTTTTGTCTCATGTAGAAGTTCGATGAGCGGTTTAGCCAGAAAAAAAATATTTTGTAATGTCTGCATACCTACTATCGATATATCGCGATAGTTACTTACTATGTTTTATCCCGAAAATTGAACATTATAAATCTAGAGATTCCTTTTCTGAAAATAGGTCAATTTGACTCAACGCAGTTGCTTTGTTTAGCAGATAAAAAGTGAAATACAGAGTGTTGGTAATAGGTAAATGGTGTATAAAGAGGAGGGTTTTCGCATATTTTTTCGGTCACTTCCGGTTTCACCGGAAATGGGTCCAGGTTCAAAAAATTAAATAGAAACCCCTGTATATATTTACATTCTCGGATTCTTAACATAATTCTGGACTTAAATGTGATTTTTTAACAATGCATCTATGCCACCTTGATGTAATATTAAAAACGGATAAAAAGAATAAGTAGGCGTAAAAACTTTTAACAAATATTATATATATAATTTGCTCATTGCCCAAGCAATACATGCGATAAACAACTTAAGATGCATATTAATTGTTAATATTTTCTTTTCTCAGAGGTTTACATTTTTGACTGGGATAAGTTTCGCGATTTTTTGCGATTTTTTTGTTTAACAGTTTTTAGTAGTCTACATAGTTGTCTAATAAAAAATATATATTTTGGCTTGGCATTCGTTGGCCTTCCTATTTTTTTACTCTGCAAAACTAAATATTCATGGTAATTACCTTATCAGTTCTTGCCAAAACCAAAAAAAACACGAACTTTCTATAATTTTATCTACCCAACACAACTAATTGACAGGTCTAATGTCAGTTATGAAATGTTTAAGGCGACTTTTGCTTTTCACGGCCCACTAAGCTATAAAAAATTCGCAAAAATCGTAGTTTTAATTAAAAATAGACTTTCATTTAAAGATCTGACATTGGGCATTTATAAAAAAGTCTTCATAGAGTTTTCAAAAAGCAATTATGTTTTTACAATTTTGAATATGTTTTTAATAAAACAATAGTGGCAAATTATACATTTTAAATAATGACTTATTGCAACCTAGTTTGGGCATAGGGCCCACAGTGCGCCGTGACTAGAAGTACACCGGGAGTACGGGCATTAAACGTACATCAGGTTTGTGCGCATGCGTGTTTCCATATCAGCTGATGGTTAAATTTCAGATTTATTAGTTGAGATTAAATTGGTACACTAAGGCCCAGTTGTATAACAGTTGGTAAACAGCTGGTTAACACTTGATATTAATTATTTAATTAATAAGCTAACTTTCAAGTTGTATAAACATTGATTAAAATTTAATTAAGTGATTGAAATACAATTAACAACAAAATTAATGAAATGTCAGTATGAATTACCCAAACCAACCCAAACTCAACAACCCAACCGATCCCGCCCCATTGGACCCCCCGCCCCATTGGACCCCCCGCCCCATTGAGCGACCATTTAATATTATACAATTGACAAATATGCCAAATAAGGATTTTTTTCCACCCGGTGTACGTTTAATGGCGGTCCTCCCGATGTACTTCTAGTCACTTTGAAACAACTAACACTTTGGCCATAGTTTATTAAACAGTGGACTAAACTAAGTTTAGTCCACCTCCACTGTCAACTAAAATGGTAAAAAACCAAACTGACAAAAAACCAAACTGACAAAAAACCAAACTGACAAAAAACCTTATTTTCTTAAACTCTTATTCAAACAGTAAATGTTAGTAGGAACCTACTTTACAATTTCTGCTGACGGCCTGCGGCCGCCCCTTAAGTGCACAACGTGCATCCCTAAGAAAGTCCTGTTTCCAGGTGAAACTCCCAAATTACTGAACTAAAAAATACTTAAAAGTTTTAGTTTTTTTTTATTAAAAGAGTTAATAATGTACCTAAAGTTTTGATTTTTTAACTTAAGTCCTTAACAACTCAAAGAAAACTGTTTAGAAAATGTGTTTCTAATATTTTATATTATTATTTTGCTTTGGCTATTTTTCATAATCAAGACTAATTAAATATGCTTTTTTATTCAGCTCATCACCCAAACATGTTTACCCAGCACTAACATACAATAAGGATTTTACCGAAGTTAAACTAGGATGTTTACAAATTCCTTTTTATAATCAAGGCCCAGATCAATGTGATGTATATAAAGCTCTTACTGCTATAAAAGCGAATGATATAGTGAATTTAGAAAGACTTGAAACTTTGGGAGACTCATTCCTTAAACTTATTGCCACTTTGTATATAACTTTAAAATTTCCTGATTTTAATGAAGGACAATCAACCACCCTTAAAAGTAGAATTGTAAGCAACAAAAATCTGTATTATTTAGCTGTTAAAAAGAATCTAGGTGGTATAATGCAATACTCCACTTTGGCTCCTAAAGAAGAATGGTTGCCTCCGTCTTATTGTGCACCTTCCAAAGTCCAGAATGAAATTCTGGATAAGAATATGTCTTATAGTAGTTTATTCGATGTTAATATACCCGCCGAGGAACAAATTACTGGAATACTGAGCCTCGATACTGTGAATGAGATTAATAATCTTGAGACTGTCAAAGAGAATCCAGAGGAGTTGGAGAGTTGCCTTCATTCTGTTTGTCATTTTTTGAAACATCAATATATAGGAGACAAAAACGTTGCTGATGCTATAGAGGCTTTGATTGGTTTATACTTTGAAACATCTGGATTTACTGGTAAGCGTATTTTATCAAGTATCAAATACCAAAATTTTTTATTTAAAAAAATCAGCCAGAAAATATTCTTTAATTTTTTGTTGCACTATGCCTAGTTACAATGTGCAATATAATTGTAAGGCTCTTAATGCAGCCATAACATACATTTAATTAAGAAGTTTAAAAACCATCTCTTAAAAACTTTAATTTAAAGTTAATTATTTTCAGGGGCGGTAAAGATTGTTGAATGGATCGGTATCATACCAAAGTCCGAGCGCTTATTGGATTTAATAAAGCAACCTTCTAAATCTCCACTAATTACTTCAGTAACTGACATCAGTAGATTTAACTTCATGTTACCAGAGTGGGTTAAAATCGAAAAACAACTAGATTACACTTTCAAAAACAGAGCTTATCTTTTACAAGCTCTCACACACGGATCGTATTCCTGCAACCGACTTACACGGTCCTATGAAACCTTGGAATTTTTGGGCGACGCAGTTTTGGACTTTTTGATCACCTGCCATATTTACGAGTCCTGTGGTTTTTTGAACCCCGGTCAGCTGACGGACCTCAGGTCTGCCCTGGTTAATAATAACACATTCGCTAGCTTTGTAGTACGTCTAGGAATACAGAAGTCCTTGCTTATAATGAACTCTCAGCTCCAAGGTCAGATTGATAGGTTTGTCTCCTATATGCAGTCCAGAAATTACGTCATTGATGACGAGGTAGTTATTTTGCTGGACGAGGATGATTTGCATTTGGCTGAATATGTAGATGTTCCGAAGGTATTTTTAACATTTATAGCGTGATTTTTAACGTTACAATTCCCGTTCTTTTTTAGATTTTGGGTGATATATTTGAAGCTCTTGCAGGTGCCATTTATTTGGATAGCAATAAAGATTTAAATGTTGTTTGGAGAGTTTTCTACAAAATCATGTATAAAGAGATTGATATGTTCAGTAAAAATGTCCCTAAAAATGTGATTAGAAAGCTCTATGAAACGCAAGGTTTATACCCTAAATTCAGGTAAAAATATATAAGCTTTTTTATTTTTATTTAATAAAATATAAAATTTTCTAGCGATGCGACTCCGGCTACTGGTAACACAACCATGGTTGCATTGGAGTATATGCTTAATGGCAGACCAAAGAGAGTTTTTGGTTTTGGCACAAACAAGACTATGGCCAAAAAAGCAGCGGCAAAAATAGCTTTAAGATCTCTGAATCTGTAAGATTCAATGATCTTGTTATTTTTTTATGGGTATTTTATTATTTACTTTTGTTTAGGGAATTTTTCCATCAAAGATTTCTATAATCATGAGTTCTAATAAGAAGTTCACTTTTAAATTTTAGAGAAAAAAATGGTTTACAAAGTAAACCATCTTTTTCACCAAGATTTAAATGCAAAACGTACAGAATTTTACATTTTTCTTAATGGTATAGAAATAGTGCGCCCTATACAGTGTGATTTACTATCTCACCATCAAACTTTGGCAGATGAAACTTCCATTTAATTTGAGAACTTTTGCCCAATTTGACTTGACTTGAAAAGATAACTTTAAAGATGTACAATTTTAGTGTTTATCAATGTATAATTTCTAGCGTTAAATTACATTTGAAGGTGACTCAATATTATCTTTGTCTGCGAATAAATTTACCAGAATACTTCTTGAATATCCACGTTGATTCATTATAATTATTGACTGACCGACAAACTTTACCATTAAAATACTTAATATGTACTTCAAAGTTGTATTTTTTTAAATCACGACATGTTCACAATGTCCTTCCGCTTGAAAGTTAATAGAGGTAATTCGGCTGAAGAACTCATTGTCACAACGACGAATTAAAGAGTTCTTCAGACAAATTAAAACGGCTGGTTGATTTCATATTTCAGTAGCAGCCATTTGTATTCTGCTTAACTTTTCTCATGTGACAATTTCCACTTGATACAAAATTTGTTTCAAATATGGAAATAAGTGGAAATACAATGTTGTAAGATCTAACTGACCATGCAATTGGACCATTATTACCAATCCACTTGTTTGCAAAATATTGGTTAACCAGTCGAAACTACTCTTCGGGGATAAGGTGGGGCACCATTGTGCTGGTTGGTGCCACATATTATATCAAAAAGTGTATTGTTCAAAAACGATTATGAAGAACATGCAAACCTACTAAATTGTTAAACAAATATTCTCCAACAATATTTCAAATATTTGTTAAACACCAAAGTTGTCCTTTTATACGTACTAAATTGTTGTTAAAAATTCCATCCCAAACGTTGATGCTGTTAAAATTTCGTTGGTCTAATTGCATGTGGATTATTTAATTTCCAGATATGTTCATTATGGTAATTATTTATACAATCTTGTGTAAAACATGATTAATCAATCCAGATAACATTAGAAATAAAGTCATTATTTTGGACATGTTGCTGCAATAACAATTAACAAAATTCTAGCTGTTGCTAATTATCTCCTGGCTGCAGAGCTTGAACAATCTGCTTATGATACGAAAGGAAATTTACTTACTTACAAAGATGTTGTGTGCTTATTGAAGGATTATTAATTATTAAAGGATTATTAATTATTAATTACATTCCACGTTACTCGGTAATTTTTGTCCCGCCCGTCACAATTAAAAATTGTGAGTAAAAACCACAAGTTATTAAATTAATATTTTATAATATTATTTTTATTGTGCTAATAACTTATTAAAAGCATAATAAAACAATATTTTTAAATAAATTTTATAACGTGTAGTTTTTACTCACAATTTTTAATTGTGACGGGCGGGACAAAAATCCCTGAGTAACGTGGAATGACCCAGCAGTAAAAACACCTTCCTCCGCCTCTACATTAACTATATGCGGTCGAATATGTTTTGCTGGAGCAGGATTAGCTGTTTCTCGAATTGTTCCGAAAAATCGGCAAAAACTGACGCTGTGGAAATCTTTTTTGATATTCTCTTATTTATTGTCGAAAATTTCCATTGCAATAACCATTAAATCACCATAATGTTTATTGCTATGAGAGGGTGTATTTTAAATTTCTTAAATAAATAAACCTTACAGCAAAATGACAACTTTGTTACCGATTTTTTTAGACGTTGGAAATTATAAACATATTTGTTCTGTAATTTTTAAACCAAGTCCAAAAAGTTGTTTAGTACTTTTTCAAATTGAATTTTTATTTGCCAGAGTTTGATCTTGAGCTAATAAATCACCCTGTATATTTGCAATGTTAAAAATAAGGGCAATTTATTTTTTGCCTTATAAATTTGACAGGGAAATTCCATGGTTTTTATAGTATAATTTGAATTATTGTTCATTAAAGTTAAAAATAAACAAATCAAAGATTGACAACCTGGATTTATTTGTGTATTGAAATGTGTTCAATCAAAATCACCTAAATATTTTATGCATTTAAGGGTCCACACTTAAGTAGTGTAGGTAGAATATTCAAAACACTTTAAGAATAACATTTAATTCTAAGCTTTGTATTTAGTTGTACAACTTGTACTTGTTTCATTTGTAACACTGTATTAGAGTCCACTGTTGTCGAGCTATGACGTTGCGGTATCAAACTTATAGCGTTCCAATCTACTTATTATACTACAAAAAGCAACAAATTCAACAGAATTAATAAGAGCCACAAAATACAAAAATAAGGCTGTTTATTTAAATTAAGTCTGTAAAATTTATTTAGCGCTTTAGTTAAACATGATTGTTTTTAGGACAACTTGTGTAAAAAGTCAAAACTGTACCTAAAACTAAGCTACAAATCAAAAAGTTAATTCTTGCAAAAGTAACTGAAAAATTAAAATACCTACCCTAAAATGTTGTTACCTAAATTATAATTATAGGGATTTTTTGTAAAAATTTAATAATCTAGTAAATGACAATATTATCAAAATAACTTTATATTTCATTTGTTACGTTTTAATAATTTTATAGGAATAATAAAATGTTTACAGGTTTACCTTTTACATATATATTATAAAAAAATTAACTTTATTTTGTTATAATTATTTGTATGATATAATATATTTAAATACATTCATAAAAAATGTAATTTTTAATTTTACCTTTATGATTAATCAACACAATTATTGCTGGAGCTTTCTTTTCTTCAATGAAGGTTTATCAAAGACGCCTGCTTGACTGGAATAAAACTTAACGTTCTGCGCAGATTCACTTGTCCACGGACTATCGAAAATTGTGGTATCCTGGTCAACCAAGTGAGTGTATTTTGTGCGACCAGACCTTCCAAAGTTTTTAACCTGCATAACTTTAGGCAAAATGGTTTTATCAAAGTGATCTTCCAGAGTTGCTTGAGCAAAATCCCTCTTGTAAACTTCGTCTTCTTTGTCCAAGTAGAAGGCACCTCTGTGATAGTACTTCTGGAGAAACTTGTATTTGCCTTTAGCCGCTTTATTTGTCAGTTGTTTTGGATTCAAACGCAGTTGTAATCTACGCTCTTCTTCCGTCATATTTCTTAACCTGTCTATTTCCAATTTCTCTTTCTCTATTGCTTCCCTTTCCTCCCTATCTCTCTTTATTCTTTTTAATTCTCTTAGTTTCCATGCTTCATATTCCACCTCGTCATTTTCATCATCAGTACAAACATCATTAATATGTGGTTCATTTGTTTCCTTATTTTTAACCTGTTGTTCCTTACGAATTGTTTCTTCCACTAATCTTAAAGTTTGTCTTCTTCTTTCCTCTGCATGTCTTTGAGTTTCAATTTCAAGTTGTTTCTGTTTTTGAGCTTCTTTTTCCTTTTCTATTATTGTTATTCTATCTCTTTTTCTTACAAAAATTGGCTTCAATCTGGGACCTGTTTCCTCCTCTGAATCTGTGTATTCTTCATATTCTGATGATTCTTCAGAGTCCGAATCAGATTTCTCCTCTTCCTTAGCCATAAATTCATCATCTTGTTTGTTTAACATTTTTTTTCTTAGCATTTCTCTTCTATGCTCAATTTCTTCATCATCCAATTCCGCTTCAGACTCATCTTCATCTGGACCAGCTTCCAGAGTATGTTTAAACTCTACAAAAGAAACAAAAATATGAGATGATTGAATGATTTAATTCCAAAATTATGGGGTGTTAAGGATGTTTCCGCAAACAGGAATGTCTATGATCTTAACTGGAAAAAAATGTAAAACTTAACAGAACTCTTAAGTGTATAACTTTAATAACTATTATTTTGGGGTATTTTTTACAACATATCTCAGTTTTTTTTATATTTTAATATTCTGTTTTTTGTTATCAAATCTTAATCTAAAGAGGTTGGCCAAGTCTATTACACATATTTTAAATTTGTAGCTTTTTAATTTAAAAATAGAAGTCCATAGTGTATCAAATAATGTAGATATGTTGTCCTTAATATTTGACTTATTATAAATTATTTTTAAACTACCTATGTTTGCAATGAAATTTAATGGTTGGTGAAATTCATTACAAATTTTTAAATTTAACTTAAAATTTTATATTTTTATAAACAACATTATTTTATAGGATGCCCCCTCCCATTGATACCTAATATAATAATAAAAAAACAGATCAAGTAGGTTAATATTTGCACAGAAAATATCATAAATATCATATTTAAACAAAAGTGATGTCATTTTTGCTTTCTTCAATTTAATTTTTAATTCAAAATGTATACAATTCTCCTTCTATATATGTTAAATAACTAAAATTTTATAATTATGTACACTCTTAAATAAATAAAAAATTGAAAAAGAGAGTGGTTTGGCACTGGGTATGTGGGTGGGGCCTCCTCTCTCTTTTTTTTTTTTTTTTTTTTTAAACAAAAGTGAAAGTACTATTACTATTTTTTAATAGTTTAATGCACTGGGGCTGTGTTTAAATTAACTTTAAAGTTGTGGAAAATGTATACATATAATACAGTGCAGTAGTGGGGAAGTTGGCTCTATGGGTGCAAACATAGTTTGCAAATAAATTTTTAATGTCAAATAATATGTAGTTTATTTAATGAATGAAATGCTGAACTTTTGACAAAATTTAAAATCATTTAGGTACTATTCAAATTTTATGACAAAATAATGAAATTAGGGGTTTTTGAAAAAAGTAAAATTAAACATCCTATCAAAGCCAAAATGTATAGTTACTAATAAAATGGATGCATAAATAATATATTAAAATAAAAAAAAATATAGGAATTTTTTTATGATATATTATTCCAGTGGTGGCTCAAGACCTGTTAAAGAGGCAGTGCTGCAGAGCAAAGGTAACCACAATAAAAAATTTAAAAAAACATAGGTATGTTCTGTTATCTACCATATATAAAATAACATATAACATTTTTATTATTGATACCTACCCTCTTTAACAGGTGCTACCTACAAACTTTGTAGTAGTTATAAGTAATAAGTTATTACCTAAAAGACCTGTAATAAAATATTGTAGTTTTTTTATAGAATAAGGCTGTAAAAGCCTAAGACTGCAAAATTTATGTTATAATTTATAATACCTTGTAAGTGTATTTCTTTCTCATCGTCTTGTTCATCCTCAGATGATTCTAGTACTTCTGGCTCTAAAATATGCCTTCTTCTTTCAGGTCTTACTTCAGTATTTACTTCAGCAATTTTTAAACGTCTCAACCTGGGGTCATTAATTTCATCATCACTTTTAACTGGTTCTGGAGATGGTGGTTGGGGTTGATTTCGCTTCTCCAAAAAATCATCATCATCACTCTCACTATCCGATCTAACATCTTGTGCATAATCTGGACGTTTTCCCGATACATATCTGTGCACTTTTACTTTTTGCATAGACAGTTCACCTTAAAAATAGTAAATTATAGCTTGGCTTTTGCAAGTACCTATGTTTGTAATTTGTAACCTTTTTCATTTCTAACTGGTACAGCACCCGCAGTACTTTGAATAGAATAAGTAGATTGTGGGTTCATCATTTTAAACGTTGATTTTGTAACAAATCAATAAGCTAGCGTAAAATAACGTTTCGTTAAGGTTAGTTTCTTGTTTTGACAATTGTTTGTGGCTAACTTCATGGTATGAATCGATATTAGTGTTGCCAATGGTAGGAATATATTTTAATTTCGCAGTGTTGGTAAAAACACCTGTTGATGTGTGTAGTTCTCTGGAACGCAAGCGTGAAAGAAGAAGCGGTCAAGCCATATAGTTTTGTAATTCTTACGTGTTTTATAAAATAAATAACCTTTTAGTTGTATTAAAGTGTGAACATTGTGTTTACGACTATTATGTGTGTTTGTGAGTGTCTGTAGTTGATTGGATTACCAGGAACCGCCAAAATAACTAAAAGGTACGAAATGATGTTAATGTCCCAAATGAATGTACGGTTTATTGAACAATAATTTGCCCAATACAGTTAATGTTTTTTGTGGAACTAGCTGTGATTTTTCTGAATGTTTAATTGCAAACTGTTAAAATCGCATTAAAAAGGGTAGTAAAGTTAACGTATTCGCATACCTTGGGCTGGTTACAATTAGTTATTGTTAAGTGAGCATTGAATTGTTTATTAAAATAAACAATAATTGTCAAGTTACATTAAAACATTTAAGGCGCGGCAAATTCTTGTTTCTATATAAGTGTCATACATTTACTGCATGAAGGTATTCATGACACAGTGTGTTTAAAATTATGCAAAAGATACACGAGAACAATCAAGGACATTCTTTAAAATTTTGCCAAAAAAGTTCATAAGGAACGTCATGTAGTGTCAATAACACTTCTCTTTTTATTGCAAAATTTGTTTATCAATTGTTTTTCAAGCCAATACCCCATTGATTGGTCTTTCTATGGTCTTAAAATTAAATGAACTTAGTGTTATATTATCATTTTTGTCAAGATTAATGATCACGAATAAACGAGGGGGTAACAACTGAACCAAAATTTGTACATGTATTGCGCATTACGTGCCCTTTTTATAGTAATACCAGTAATACCAGTGTAATGTCAGTAATTCCAGTGTAATGCCAGTAATTCCAGTACAATGCCAGTAATTCCAGTGTACTGCCTGTAATTCCAGTGTAATACCAGTAATTCCAGTGTAATGCCAGTAATTCCAGTGTAATGCTAGTAATTCCATATTTACTCATACATAAATTTTTGTTGAAAGAAAATAATATAAAAATAAAAGAAATCTTGACAACATCGATGAAGGAAACGCATTATCTTCTCAGAATATTTGTATGAAACATAATGTATGAAATATAATATACAGTTTGGACATATTTATTATTTTCTCTTATCACATATATACAAACATACACATATATAGGTACCTACAACTAAAACATATTCTTAAACTATTTGTTCACGCGAATAAACATTTTAGTCGATCATATTTTCAGTTAAACATATTTTCTTAACATCTTTGTAAAGTTTAATAACACTATGATAGTTCGATTTACTAACATTGAGTGTGCCCACCTATATTACCTAATTTTGGGATGCTGATTTCAAAAATGCCACTCGTTTTGCTCCAGGACGTCTAGGATTCGAAATAATTGCGTAATAAAATGCTCTGCCCAATTATCTCAAAATGTAAGTTTTTTGTTAATATTTTGATTATTTATTAAATTATTTTGCTTTAAATCTATTTTGGATGTTCAGTATATTTTTGACGTTTTTTATCAAAAATATACAGGGACTTCATACAAAGTCGACCGATGATCATCGGTAGATAAATGTCAAAATAAAAATTTTGTTTGTACCATTTTAGCCATACACTATAGTAGTATTTTATAAGGGATATTTAATAAAGCACTTTTCTGCCGAAAAGTGCTTTATTAAATATCATAAGTAAAATTATAATTTTTTTTGGTAAAATGTATCATTTTTTGAAATTTTTGTGTCGTTTTTTAACTACTAATTAAATTGAAAATTCAACAAAGTAAATGGGTTTCGGTATAAGCATTACTCATGGACAATTCTTTGATATGTTTTTATTCACATCATGCCTAAAGTACCCTAAAATTTAATATCAAATTGAAGTACAAAGGCGCCTTTATCTACTTTATCGTTCAAGCACACTAAAGTGAATCTATTAATTATTGACATTTAAAATTTAAACTTGTATTGTATTTTTACTTGAAAGTTATTTTAAGAACCAACAATGAAAAAAGAGCAGGAAATGGAAGTGGCAGAGAAAGAGAAAGGAGAAGAACATTTATGTCGTTGTAAATTTGTTTTGTTTTTCTTGCGGTACCTTTACGCCCAAGAAAAACCAACGCAATATTTCATTACAAAATTTTATGAGATATACCTACTACTTTAATTTTGCAGGAATATTAAATGGACCTGATATACGACGTTTATAAAGATCAAGCATTCAAAAATGCTCTCAAAGTTGACGAGCTTGTCGCATATGGCAGTGTTAAAGCTGTCATTGAAAATGTTCTTGGTTCATATCGGGCCTAAAATTGGCGCCTATTAATTAAAAAAATGCTTTCAGTTTTGCAAGGAATTATCGTTAATATGTCATTTAAAATACATTTTCTCTTTTTTTTTTCATCCTGATAAATTTGCCGAACTGATGAACATGGAGAACGATTTCGCCAAGTAACTGCAAATCTAGAGCATTGGTAGATATCTATGGGTATAGCCGAAAGAAGTTGTATTCATTGCTAGGAGACATTTGCTGGAATTTGCAGCAAAAGATGTACAATGATGATGAGGATTAAGCACAATAATACTATAATCCAATTTGATATTTGATTCGATTTAATAAATTTAAGGTAGAAAAAAGCAAAATTTAGCAATGCATTTAATTTTGAGGGCTCAATTTGTATAAAAAATAATGAAATTTGTTTACTTTGTTGTCCTTTCAATTTAATAATTAAAATAAACGACAAAAAATGTCAAATAATGGTTGTTTTTTTACATAAAATACATTAAAAATTTAGTTTTAGTATTTAAAATGTCATATTGTTGAGATAAATATGATCTATTTGCCGTATACCAATTACTTTAGTACATTCAAGATAAATTGAAGCCAAAATAGTTTAATAAATAATTAAAATACCAACAAAAAAACTTACATTTTGAGGTGATTGAGCAGAGCATTTTATTACGAAATTATTTTAAATCCTAGACGTCCTAGAGAAAAACAAATGACATTTTTGAAATCAGCGGCCCAAAATTAGTTTAACTAAGCTGGAGTACTTAATGTTAGGAAAAAAAAGTTTGTAAAACTATCATAGTGTAATTGTTCATTTATCGTGTCTTGATAGTTGAAATGGTCCTGTTCCGATAATTTTTATTGGTCCGGTCGTTTTTTTTTAATAAATTCCGTATATAATACAAGTACTTTCTCATCTGCTTCTAAGAGTTGAAAGAGGTAATTTCTTGCAAATAAATTTATATTTTCAATATGAATATCGGTGATTTTTGATATCGAATATAGGTTGTCATAACCAGTGGAAATCATAAGTTTTTTTTACATGTAAACTGGTAACTGAAAACCATGTAGTTGAACTTTACTAATACATGCATTAACTGGACAAATTGATTCTTCTTCGGATAATATTAATTCTTTTTCTGATCAAGACATTCTAAAAGATCAAATAAACTTTAAAACAAGGGACAGAAATAGCTGGGTCAGTCCATATTAAATCACCCAAAGGCCTTTTCCTCACCATCTCCGATTTTGATTATTACTGGTAAATTTGTTTTAATCATTAAAAAACTCAAAGATCCATTTTTTTGTAATAACAATAATCAAAAAATTGCAATATGTCAAATACTATTTAAAGTAAAAGGTGGGTCCTGTTTTTAAGGTCTTTTATGGGCCTTTTTATGATATATCACTTAGACTAATTTTTTCATCATTTTGAGAAAAAAATTAAATATGTCAAAAATACCTTTTTTATTTTTTTAAGAAAACTATATTTTATTGCAGCATACAGCATTGAATTACTATAAAGGAATTGAATTACTTTAAAGGAATTGAATCCTTTGAAAAATAATTTAATTTCTCAAATAAACTGATCGAAAAAAGTTAAGCATATAAGGTTATTTTAAGATTAAATTATTTTTATCTAAAATTTTTTAGTACATAATAATTTAATTCTAAAATAACGTAATATGCTTAACTTTTTTCGATTAGTTTATCTTAAAAACAATTAACAATTACAATTACTTTCTAGAAAGTAATTGAAGTACCAATTGGTAATTAATTATTTCTAAGGTTTTAAAAAAATAATTTAATTAAAGTAATTAAATTACTGTAAAGTAATTTAATTACATTTTCAATTACTTTAATTCAATTACTTGAAAGATATTGATATTTTTGTACAAGACCCAAATCGGCAATTTTTAGATTTTTAAAAATTAATAAAACAAAAACACGTCATCGAAGAATTAAGAATAATTAATTTTAATGTTAAAGTCAGGAAAAATGTAAAATTATTTACTTACATTGTGCAGAAATGCCAATTTTCGATTTAAAATACAAAAATCTTAGGCCCTTATGGATATTTAGCTTTTAATACGGCCTTGTTTTCGTCAATCACGTGAACATTCAAACGTCTACATTAAGTTCTTGTTAAATAAAAATACACTTCATCCTGGGTAGAAACGCTTCTTAAAAAATTTCAGGAAATTTTTGAGAAAAAAATGCTTCAAAAGACAGTTTGTGTTTTAAGGAGAACTGTGGTTCTTGGGGTAATTCCCTTTCTTAGCAAATGTTCTAAATGATAAGCAAAAACTAAATATCTTAGTAAAATTAAAAATACCTATTTATAAATGATTTTATTTCACTTACCTCGAGTTTAAATTTAAATACCTACGAGTAACTTATCAAACACTGCAATTCACAACCACAAAATTCAACACTGCAATTCACAACCGCAAAATTCAACCTTAATGCCATAAAATACGAGCGTAATGCCGTAATTCGTACGTAATGCCGTGAAATTTTTAAGTAATGCAATGTAATGCCGCCTAATACCAGCGTAATACTGCGGAATGCCAACATAATGCCACATAATGCCGGTAATGTCATGTAATGCCGCCGTAATGCGGGGTAATGCATCACAATTTGTACATGTATTGCCAGCAGTTGTTACCCCCCTCGCGAATAAATTTACATAAATAAAATGTGAATACATTTTCATCTGAATTTTTGCTTTGCAGGTATAGTAACCTACTGTACTTTACCAAACCTATAGTATTTACCTATACGTATACGTATAGGTAAATACTTTGCCTGCCGCTAAAATATTAATTTTACCTGCAGAAAAATTGGACGTTAAAAAATATTACACAAATTAATAATTTAAAATTATATAGGACCACTTG